GCAAATCTCGGTGGGTGCAAACGTATGAAGGTTCAAATGTCTTGGATGCAGTTTACGGGTGCAAATGTATGGGTTCAAATGTACGTAGGTTCAAATGTGCTGTCACCGTTATATCAAAGTGGTATGAAACTGAAATTCGTCGTAGGATTTGTGCGGCCCGCCCTATAAATGAGTTTGTAAGCAGACTTTTTTACATTTTTACTGTATATATACGGTTATATAAGTAAGTTTTGTGATTTTTGTGTGATTATTCTCATCTTTAACGTACAGATGGCGGTTTTTATTATCACGTATGTAGTATGTCTTGCGTCCCGGTGGACAGATTCAGATGTGTTTTTTTTTATAATGCAAGAATCAATGTACGAAAAAGTGGCAAAAGTGTATTACGGCAATAAAAAATGCAAATATACACCTTGACGTTAGTTTTTTTGATTTCTCGCAGAACTGTGCGTTCTGTTCGATGAACACAAAAGATATTGTGCGATCATCGGCGACGAAACCTGGGCGCAATTATAGGAATGAATTTGGAACCAAATTTCCAAATCAATTCCATTCTGATTGCTCTTTTTCGTGTCGGCTTCGATCGTATGTATGTATGTTTATTCGTCTCCTAAAAGCAATATAAAAGAGTAAGTAATTATAAATACTGAAGACGGGATGTGTGCAGAAGACCACATTGGCCTAAAACACAGATGTTCGACATACACCCCTTTTGATATATATAAATTATAATAGGGTAAATCAAATATGTACAATATGGTCCTTTATACAGGCAGTTGTGCAAGGAGGGTGGGTGGATGCGGTAACAGGGATATGGGTGGAGTGTACAAAACTGTTTGTACAAAGGAGTTTGTTAGACAAAACAACATCTATAAATAGAGACACAACACAACATGAAACACACTGCATATGAATATAGTAATAAAAAAAAAAATTTTAAAAAAAAAATTAAGAATTTGGATGAATGTACAATACCATTGAGTGATGATACCACATACTATAAAACGCGGGAATGGTCAAGTTTAAAGGGTGTGTACATATATGGTATGCACCACTCAAGGGCGACAGTGTTATAAGTGGTCTATGGCTGTTCTGGCCAAAATGTGACCCTACAGGTTTTGGTGAAATATGATAAAGGTATGTATCAAGTGACTCACTATTGTAAGTTTTTTTTGGAATTCTGGATTCAGCCAAAAACAATGAAGTTTCAAAAAAAAAAAAAAAAAATAATAATAAAAAGCATTTCCACAAAACCTATTATGGTTGCATTTCAGCCAGAAGATTAGAATGGTATAAAGGTACAGTGGGATAGGGAATGATAAGTTAAAAAGAGAAGCCATTTTACCATGTCATGGATTTTCCAATGTAAATTAAAATAATAAAATTATATGGTATCCTGGGATGAGCAGAAGAAAAAGTGTGATTCGGTGATAGGTAGCAACAATGGAAATAAATTGAACAGCATGCTACTCAAACAAAAACCATTGTCCCTACTCCCTACTGTTTGAGCATTGAAGTTCTATTGAATTGTACTATCTATAACCTAAATTGCTGTGCTTTTGTTGTTGTCTAATTACGCATGATAATGAAATTAGAATGGTGTGCTAGTTATTGAAATTGTCAGCTGGTCTATGGTGACTGAAGAGGAGGACAATTTCCTGATAGTTCATTCAATCCAAATAATCAACAGCTCTCCCTTTCAGTGTTGAATTGACCTTAAAAAATAATCTCCAAACAGTAACATGTTCAAAGCAGAGAAAAATGCTAATATGATGATAATATATATTGTTTAAGTTTGGAACAAAATTCTAAGTTCGATTTTGAATTTTTGATGTCATCGGGTAGGGAATTCCAAGCTTTTGGTCCACATACTGCGATTGATTCTTGTGAAATACTTTTACTGACAAATGGAATAAAAAAATTATCTTTATTTCTGCTGTTTGAATTTGGGTTTGCTTGGAACAGGCTGGACGGAAGCTCTCCAATGTGACAAGAGAACATCATATTACATAGTTCGAATTTAGCTAAATCCACAACTCGTAGTAGCCTATGCTCTTTAAATAAGTCATCAATTTTTTCGCGATTACCTCTATGAAAAACTCTTCTAATAAAGCGATTGCAAACACTTTGAATTTTTTTGAGAATGGACGATTGGCGATGAACATAAGCTGAGGCACAATAACGAATATGGCTTTCTATCAGAGAGTGGTATAGAGATATTAAACAAGTTGTATTTAAGTTGTTGGCTATTTTCGTAATGGCATTAAGAGACGACCTTGTTTTCGATAGAACCATATTGGTGTGTTGTTTCCAAGACAATTTATCATCGATCATTACATCCAGAAAGCGAGTCTGATTAACTCTTTCTTTATTTATTCCATTTAATTCCAAATTTTGTTGCAGAGTTGGACACTTTTGCTTCGGCGTGCTAAATATCATATATTTAGTTTTATCGACATTAATAGTGAGTTTGTTCGCAGACAACCAAGCTTGAATATTTTCTAAGTCGGTATTTGCTTTGGTCAAAAGTTCAGGCAAGTTTTTGCCTCGAAGATATGGCGTTGAGTCATCAGCAAAAAGTATGATATCAGAGTGAAGAAGAGAATTCGGAAAGTCGTTAATAATGATTGAAAAACATAATGGAGCCAAAATAGAACCTTGTAAAGTACCTACAGTCAAATTACAGTATGTGCTAGATGCTACATCATTGTATATAACTACTTGTTTCCTTCCTGATAAGTAGCTTTTAAACCAATTATAACTCTGACCTCTAACGCCAATATGGTGCAATTTGGCTAGTAATATGTCATGGTCAATACTATCAAATGCCTTGGAAAGGTCCAAGAACATACTGAGAGTATACTCATTCTTATCAAATCCTTCTAGAATTTTACTGACAAGCAGGGATGTTGCATGAGATGTTGAATGATTTTGACGAAAGCCAAATTGTTGTGAATAAAAGAAATTTTTTTGGTCTAGGAAATGGTTGAGTCGTTTGTACATAATTTTTTCTAGAATTTTTGAAAATGCGGAAAGTAAGCTGATCGGTCGGTAGTTTTTTACATCTTTTGCATTTCCTTTTTTGAACAGTGGCATAACTTTGGATAATTTGAACTGGTCTATGTATTTACCAGATTGTAATGAGCAGTTAAAGATATGTGCGAGAGCACAAATACAATTCCAGGGCATCATTCGTATAACTTTAAAGGGAATTCCATCTATTCCACAACTGGTTTTGGGTCGAAAAGATTTCAGAATATTTTGGACTTCGAAAGCTGTTGTCGGGGCAAGAAACATGGAGGTTTTACTGGGATGCCCCATATATTGCTTAAAGTCATCCCTTCTAGTATGAGTAAACCGTTCGACCATTTTATTTCCAATTGTAGAAAAGTGCGAGTTAAAATGATCTGCTATTTCGACAGGATCCGAGGTTTCCTGGTCATTAATAGAAAATACTTTTGTTAGATTTGGTTTAGAACGCCCAAGCAGATCGTTCATAGTACGCCAAGTTTTCTTAAGATCATTACGATGTCTACCTAGTAATGACTTGTAATAATTTTGTTTCTTAGCAGTTATCAATTTCTCATATTTTTTCTTGCATTCTGAATATTTAAATTTGGTCTGCTCTGATTTTTCAGTAAGATAGTTTTTGTATAGTTTATGCTTTTTTTCTGCATTTTTAAGAGTTCCTTGTCAAACCATTTATTAATATTTTTAATATTTCTTTTCTTCAGAGATAAGCAAGTTTTAAAAGATTCCGAAAAATACTCATTAAAAATTCTGAAGGCTATATCAGGATCTGTTTTGCTGAACACAGCAGAAAAGTCACTTTGTTCTAACATGAGTTTAAAATTATCTAAATTTGAGATATTATATTGCCTAAAGTATTCGTTTTCTGCCTTGCGAAGTTTTTTTCTTAATGGAATGCAAACCAGGACTGGCAGGTGGTCTGAAATAGGATCCACTATTATTGCACTGCGGGGTTTACAATCAAAGATGTTTGTCCAAATATGGTCAATGATTGTAGAGCTACTTTGAGTGATTCGAGTTGGCTTTGACACCACAGGGTAAAATGAAGCCGAATTCATCAGCTCACAAAATTCATCTACAGTCTTGTTTGTTTCCAGAAGATTATAATTGAGGTCTCCCATGATAATACAATTTTTCGATAAGGTTTGGAGTGTCGATTCCAGAATACTAATAAATTGATTATTGCTTTGACTATCTGATAAGGGAGATCTGTAAATTGTTCCACACGTCACAATTCTATCCTTCAAATAAATGTCTACGAAAGTGGATTCAAAAATTCGCTCATTCATAATTGAAATGTCAGGTCTAGCCTTGAAGGTAATATTTTTTTTGATGTATAGGCCAACACCCCCACCTTTTGAAGTCACTCGAGGATTTGATAAAAAAGTATGCTTGTATGCTTGTAAAGTATGTTTATGTCATGTTTGCATTGAAAAATAATTCTGATAGAACTGACTTATTGTCCTTTCTGCATATTCAAATTAGTATATGTATTCATCCAGAAATCTTTGTAATGTTACTTCATTAATTAAATGTATACTTGTATTGATGTTTCAAATTTTACAAAACTGCCCGTTGAAACTTGATATTCCCGCGACATTGGCGCGTATCATGCTCATTTAAACATTGAGACACTATCATAGCCACTGAAAATATACGCTAATATAACACTTAATTTTGACGTATTTGTTTGTTAGTGAAAACTGTGCATATTCTCGCGTGGCATCAGAAGTCCATAAGTGCGTCGTGTAATGATTGATTCTTTGATTCAGCGGCGCACGAGTGTCGATGTCTGTGTTACCATTGATGACTACATAAGGTAGTTAAGGTATCAATGATCAGACATTCGAATAGTTAACTGCTGTTCTAATATTCGGTACCGTACTTAAATCCAGAAATTCGAACTTCTTGAATTTACGAGATCTGTAGATTGATATATCTTTGTCTATCTGTACTCTGTAGTGATATTTGTTGCATTTCCTGATTTCAGATTGCTTTTTAGCAAATAATAGACTACTGTACCGTAATACTGTAATAATTGAAAACACAGCAATCAAGAGCTTTATGACATTAAAGACGTTATAACTACTGAACTATCAGACTATTGTACGACACTGTAAATATTCACAGGGTACTGTGTCCTATTTCTTCAAGTTTTTATAATATTGTGGTCATGAATGGCCTCATGGCCAAGTGTCAAGCCATTCATACAAGGTGGAATATCATCTGTTCTTGCTGAGGTTGCCACATTTCCACTTGATCTAACAAAGACAAGACTTCAGATACAGGTTAGCATTTTTTAGAATTGTATCATCTAAATCAGGTGTCTCTAAACTGCATTCCAATTGTGGCCCACATAATGATTTGATACGGCCAGCCAAAATTAAGTGGAATAGTCCAACACTTTATGTTATTACCTTTTCGCATTATAGATACCGTCAATTGTTACATCATTTCGTTTTTATATACTGGTATATTATATGCATTTGCATGTTTTTTGTATAAAGTCATGCTTGTTATTGCTCAGGTGTTCTATCACTGAACTAATATAATTCTGTGATTATGAATTTCATCGCATAACAAACTGCGATACTCTTGCAGCATATTTAGTGCCTATTTTCAAAATTTTCTCCAATCCCAACCGGACCGCACCCCTCTCCCGGCCCAGGAATATGCTTTCGATTTTGGTCCTCAGACAATCCACATTATATAAAAAGAATATGTTAGGTTTTGAATGTGTCGTTATTTCTCACCAACACGATAAATATGAAAAATCCCATTTAGTTTATTGGGATAGGTTGGTTCATCGGAGCTGTTTTCTGCAACGTACTCCCTAGTTGACACAGCCATACCTCTGGTAGATTGAACAGAAGTCAGTTTAGGACTGTGTTTTTATCACCATCATTTAGCTACATATGCCCGAATGGACATACTCTTGAGGTACGCATACTTGATATAAATGTATCCTGATATCATGTAAAGACGAGTTGTTATGGAGGTAGTACTTGAGGTGCTTAGTGAATCACTTGTTTTGTAAACATGGAATTGGAAAAATAATAAATATACAGAAAACTGCATATTTTCTTCCAGGGTCAAGTCATTGAGTCAAAACACAAACAAATAAGATACAGAGGTGTTGCTCATGCATTGGGGAAAATTTTACAAGAAGAGGGATTTCTGGCAATGTATTCAGGGTAGGTAACATGTTTGAATCCACTTTATTGTTTTATTTCCCTTCAAATTTTGATAATAATTGATGAATTTTGTGGCATGCGTTTCTAGCTTTATTTTATACGTTTTTTTAAAGTAATCTGCCAGTGTGTTTTTCTCTCAATGATTAAGAACACTATCAGTTTGAATTGAACTGTATCACAACTTTTTTTTCTCTAATAACATAATTCATATTCATCCAAGCTACTTCTCCATTTTAGATTGGGACCAGCTGCAGCTCGCCAATTAATTTATGGAGGACTGAAGAGGGGACTTTATCGTACTTTTCAGAATTGGAGTGGTGTAAGAGGAGCAAGTATATAAAAATTTATGTGTTTTTGATGATCGACAATGTTCTTATGGAGTGATTGGCAACCCTAATAAACAGAAAATGGAAAAAAATTAAAAATTCTGTGTAAAATTAAATTCAGAAAATACCTTTTTTCAAGCTTCTTGTATGCAATAAAATTGGCCACAAATACATACAATATCCATACTGAATATTAAGTTCTCCTGTAGTATGTGCAACAAGATGGCAGACACCAGAACATAGTATGTGTATCAGGTTAGGGTTAGGGCATAATTTCTGGTACAAATACTACGGGAGTCACTTGGCTAGTCCCCGAACTCGTAATAGAACTAAAATAAGAAAAATTGGAATAAAGTTATGGCCTAACCCTAACTTGGTACACATAATATGTTCAGGTGTCGGCCATCTTGTTGCACATACTACGGGAGCGCCGAATACTGTATATTTCAGTAATCTTAACTGCTCTGTATTGATATTTCAGGAAGTACGATTCTTATGGATTTGGTTCTAGCATCCTCTTCAGGTGCAATATCAGCATTTGTTTGCAACCCTGTTGACATTGTTAAGGTTTGTACTTTTTTACTTATTAAATCATAACCATGGTGTTTTATTTAACATGGTTGTTTCTGACTTATAAAACAAAATCAGTATCAGGTATGTTACCATTTACCAATACCCAAAATATTCTTTTTCCAATACTAACAGGTCAGAATGCAATCACAGGGAATAACATTCACGTCGTGCTACAGGCAGTTATTATATGTCGATGGAATAAAAGGTTTATTCAGGGTAAATTGAAATAATATACACTGCTGCTTTGAACCAGGAGAAGATATTATGTTGATTGTGTAACATATACCTATCTAATGAATTTAACATACCTATTTTGTTTTGAATTTTTTTGTGGTATTTCCTTGCTGTTTTAGTAACATTGGGTAGTGGGTACCGGTACTTGGTTGTGGGAACATAAAATTTTTTTGTCAGGTCTTGTTATAAAAACTTGGTAATAAACTTGACCTTCTTTCGCATTTAATCATTTCTTTCTTGACATCGACGCTGTTAAATATCTAGCCATTGTTGGATGTCTCCAATTGATTCTCAAGGAAACAGAGCATGAGCATGTTTCTAGAGAAAAATGTTTTGATTTTTTGGCCATTGACTTTTTTATATTTTTTTTACAGGGTGTTTACCCAAATGTTATGCGGACAGCTGTTCTTGTTGGATTTTCATTTTCTGTTTATGATGAAGTGAAACGATTAATTTTATATGACCTTGGTATAAGAGAAGGATTTTATTCTTATATTTTGTAAGTCAGAAATTTTTGTGTTTTTCTCTAGTATTGCATTTGATTATTACATGTTGATGAATTGGTGAAAAACGAAAATTATGTGATCCGTGAATACACCATACACTTTTTAACACAAAAAATAAAATAATCTTAATTAAACAATGCAGTGATTTCCTAAATTCAAACACTTCGAAATTCTCGTTTCACATAGTTGTTTTTTAAACCGAGATCTGCACTGACAGGCAAATTTGTTTCCATACTCATTTTGTGTTTCATGTTTTATACAGAGCATCATGCATTGCGTCAATCACTGGTTCTTTTGCAGCAAACCCATTTGATGTAATTAAGGTGTGGTTTGAATATTTTTTCAAATAATTTGTAGGGCATGAGAATAAAGAGTAACTTTCTCACTGATCGAGTGTTTTATTCAAATTAGGTACAGGCTTGTAAATTGGATATAAGACACCTGAACAATACAAGGCTCTTTGCCTTTAAAATATATATGACGTCTTCAGAAATTTATGAATGTATTTTTGAAGTTTAGTCATCCAAACTCCACAGGCTATATATGGTAGAAAAAAAAAATTTATTATTACAGTCAAGAATGATGAATCAGAAAATGGATGGGATTCGATATAGAAGCACTTTTGATTGTTTTATAAAGGTAATTTCGATATTGGTGATTGAATCATTTTCTAATCTTTCACCATCAAAATCATTTATTGCCTGGTACCGTTTATTCAAGTCTATGCATACTGGCAAATTCGTGTTTGATTGATTAGCCACTGATAATGTAATTTATAACACAGAGCATATCCATACTTAACTTTTTGATAAATTTTCGTACCTTTGAATGCAATGAAATATATAATAAGTTGATACATCCACAAACACTTCAATTCTCATAGAAATCCAGCATCATATTTATCTTGATGACCGTACATTTGAACCCACATACATTTGAACCCATGTGTATATCCGCGGGTTCAATCTATATCCGGCTGCTAAAACCCATGGGTTAGGGTTAGTATGGGTTCAAATATCCGCAAAACAAAAAAAATTCCATAGGTGCAATATATGCAGGTGCAATTGTCGTGGGTTCAAATGTACGGAAACCGATTATCTTGCATTTCATTAATAGATGCTATAGGTTGCATTTTGTGACCATAGAAGTCAAACTGTTAACTGCACCCCTATTAGTTCTTATATATTTGGCAGGGGTATCACTGTCATATTATACTTAGCAGCTTGGTTGTAATTTGAGTACTCTTTAACTAATCAAATATTTGGTCATTATAGAGACTGGATAAGTTTGAAGTTTTGTTGTTCAGTTATATTACAAATCCTACGCTTTTGGACTAATGTGTGATTTTTCCAGACTGTGAAATTAGAAGGATCTTCAGCACTTCTAAAGGGGTATGGGACAATGCTATGCAGAACTGTACCCTGGCATACTGTGGTATCCTTTTGAAATAGGCTGTATGACTATGTATATATCTTTTATCTCCATCAAAAAATTCTCAATTTTATATCTCCCAAATACTGGTGAAACTTGTAAGATCGTTACAATTATCACATATTATTTATCCAAGTATTCATTAGGTCAAGTATTTATTTATATTATAAATATTTATGTCATTCAATTATTTGAATTATCAGGTGTTTTTTAATATCCATGGTATGCTGAAACAGTGACACATGTCATTTGAAATTCAATTTTGTTGTCTGAGACAAGTCTACATTACAACAGTAAATTTTGAAAGCTCACAAGCATAACTTCTATTCATTTAATTCACCATACATTGCTTGTGAAATTAAACATAAATCAAAAATTCCTTAACTTGATGATACAAACAGTTTTTTCTTGCCAATGAATACATGTGGAGGTGACCTAAACTCTTCATGTTGTGTGGTGTGTTCCAGGAAATGTGAAGAAAACTACCAATATCTTTTTATCACTGAGTCATATCTGGCAATAAACTCATGATACAAGCAATAACATGACACTCATTGAAACTTTACCTGAACCAATTATGAATACTTTAAGTCCTATGTTTTGAAGTTTTTGATGTACAGTATTTAAATTTTGATTTCTAACATTTGATACCTTTATCGGCTTCATAAATAAACTAGGCATAAATTGATCTACCAGGTTATTAAATTCAGATCAAGTATAGATATAAAAATATTTTTAAGTTATATCTTATATCGACAAATACACCATCATCAGCTTGCCATTTTAAATCATATTTTTCAATATTTTCAAACCATTGGTAAACTTAAATTGGACAGTAGTTGTGTGTCTTCTAAATTGTGATCTTTCATTGGAAGTTTGTGACATAGTGATCATCAGTGCTAATTTTACTTGGCACTAGTTCAAAATGATCTGTATGCAATCATTTTATGTATTTTGAACTAATTATATTGCATTCATACTTGCTTTTATCTGATTTTTCATGGGAGAGTGGACATTCGCAATAATTTTCTTGGAAGTCGACCAAAATATGTGGTCAACAATAGTGTTAGCGAATCATTTCAATGGATAACATAACCCATATATCCTCGAGTTCTGTGGAATATTCTAATTTTTTTTTACAACATCGTACTATTGGATATTCACACAATTTTAATAAAACAGGACTTTGAGAGACTAAAAATGGCAAAAAATACATCAAATGAATATAGTATTCCTATCGTTAAGTGAAAGTTGATAACTGCTGACATTAATTTTTATTTAATAGGACTTAATGAGTTAATGGGTCAATTTTCTGGCCTTTCTTTTGCATTTCCAATACATGATCAATTTTGTTTGTTTATATTGTGTGTTATACCGAAGAAAATTTTGTTAGGCTGGAAAGTTACCATGTCTGATGGAATTCCATGCCAAAAGGTTATGTGAAATATTGTTGCGCAAACATGGTATTAAGGTTTCAAGCATAAACACAATAAGTTGTAGTGAAAATCCCCTTGTGAACTGTTGTATAGAGGCAGATATCGCTTCAAAATAGATGAGAGAGGGAGAGAATTTATTGCTTTCGTCAAATCAGAGAAACAGAGTTTTCGGTCTGATTTGTGAATGTAAATGCCCTTTTACGCCAATATAACAATTGGTATTAAAAAGGTAAAATTTCCTGAGAGAGAATTGTCTTTTTAAAACTTGTGCGTGGTTTTGCAGGTGTAGACATATCGTGACAAAATATTGGTGCATGTGTATTCAATGCAGCGTTTCTCAGACTGTGAGTCGCAAGAGATTTTCAGGTGTGCCGCGGAGATTTAGAAAATAGATGTTGGTACTAGAGATGTACCGATACCACTTTTGTCGCCGATACCGATACCAGCTAAAAACGCCGATACCGATACCGATACGCCGATACTACAAAAAGGCCGATATTCCGATACCGATACTATGTAATTATTACTTTATTAGGTATGCTGTGTAGGGCAGACGGGTTAAAACAATGGTCTTTAAGCGTTGTTCATAGTACACATTATTTCAGATTGAAAAAAAGATATATATATCACATAATAGGAAATTAATGTTTGGTATCCATATGCTGTAACTGATTAAGATACATTGTACAGTAACGCTAGTAATCTCGGTGTTCAATTAGAAAACTCATAAGCCGGGATGTCCAATTTGAATTTAATGTTAATATCGCGAGCTTCAAATATCGTTATTCGTGTTTAAAAGAATATCGAATATCACCCACACATTCTAGCGCCGCCGTCCTACGTTCAAATTAAAAGCATTTTACAAATATTTAATTTAGTGGCTAATCGTAATCGTCGACGCAATAAGTCAAAGCCAACATGAAAGAATATCAATCAGCAACGACAAAAAGAAGGCCCACCGATAACCGTTGAGGATGTTTTTTTACTTCATTATTTTATAATATTTTACAATTGCTATCCTATATTTTGAGACAGTCTAGGGCTAGGCGGTCAAGTCAATATATCTATAAAGAAATCGTGTAGTTAAGCAGAATTAAAATTAATACCTGTGTAGTGGGATAATTGTGTCGGAATTTAGTTTATCGATGTCGACGGACTAAATGACACTTGTACTTGACGACAAACAGTCAGAATTTATACCCGTGCCAAAAGTCCATGTGCCGTTAATAAGGAAGGACCCCAATTCCACTGTATGATTTAAAACTGGGCGCCTAGTTGCTTTTTGTTATGTGCTGTGTTGATATATTTCTTCATAAAAACTATGTAATATTAAAAATGTTAATATAAAAATTTGACAGCGAAAAAAGCCAAATTAGTTGAGCTAGTTTAGCTGATAAATAGCTAAAAACACGTGAATCCTATTCTCTCGCAGGGGTGGGGACATGTATGGCTCATAGCTCACGATCTCTCCAGACAAAATAAATTAAAAAGTTGTATTCCAACTTATCTTTTAAAACATTCTGGACCATATCAAAAAGGTAAATATATCGGTAATATCGGCCTTAATCTAACCGATACCGATACATGGCCGATACCGAAAAAATGGCCGATATTGCCGATACCGATACCCGATACCGATACATTGGTACATCTCTAGTTGGTACTACACGTAGCCATGCATGCAACGACCATGCATGTGAGACTTATTATTGTGTTTGCCTTATCATTTTAATAAGTGTGATTGTCACGTTATATTGAATATGCAAATCCTAGTAATATTATTGTATTTGCCTTATCATTTCACGTTATAATTGCATTGTTATGTCATATGACATAATGTATTTGTAAAAAACAAGCCGTCCACCTTCCACCATAATGACTTGCGCGCTTAGTTGGGCTAATAGAAAAGCAAGTTTGGACGAGTTTTGGCTATCTGCTTATAACTTCTATTCAATCATCGGTGCAAAATCCATCAAAATAATCTTGCCATTTAAATCTCCATGGCACTGTTCGCACGGATTTTCTGTTATGACTGTAAATAAAAGCAAAAAAAGACATCGACGGAACCTCGTTTCTCATATAGGGAAAGATGGGAACCTATCTGCGTGTCCACACTCCCGTGTTATTGGACACACGTTAACAGAGTGTAACTCCGATCTGAACTCCTCAGAAGTCAATAAGCACATGTAATGCCAAATGTTCGTATATTGTAAAGTTGCACAATCGAATTGATCCAAATAACAGATAATATACTTGAACCTGATGGAATAATATGTTTTCAAATTGTGTAAGGCCAGCTAATAATGATTCCTGATTGAATAATATGCCGTGTAAGTATGTAAAAAATTCTACATCGAAGTTGCTGATGGCCAACTAATTGAGCGACACAGGAAAGCCAATTTGAGTGGGAATACCTCCGGTTGAAGCGTAAATATATACTACTAGGTTGAAGGCAATTTCTTTTGCGGTGAAATCTACAGATTTTCTCGAAATCTCCGATAACACCCAGAACTAAGCCATTATATTTAAACAACCTATGCTGTGTGTGTTCGCATTGGCTTAGGTCAGCTAGAAAAGAATGTAGTTAACGTGTCATGTGTTGGAGTAGGAGGGACCCTTGTAGCCAATTAGTTGTTATGTAATTACAAAACTACACCAAATTGGCCCAATTCGTGAGAAACTCATGAAAACCAAAATTAATTATTCCCGTTATAGCAATTATCAATTTCTCAAAATCCAATTTCAAGATTTAATAGCCTTTCGGTGCCATCCCATGTAAAAATAAAATTTATTTCCAGTAATATTCCAATAACGTAAATTCGAAATATCTTGTTAAAACCAAATTATCCACTTGAGAACAATTTTTTACATCTCATAATTGGAGTAAGTACGTGACCAGGAACACGGTGACTTGGCAATAACAAGTTAATTGCTAGTAATGAACTTCAAGGAAACACTTTTAATAATGTTTGATTATAGTGAACCGAAAGCTAACCAGAAACCGGAATGACGCGTGATTCTTTAATCGTTAATGTAAAAATCTGTTTCATCATTCTATTTTAATTGCTTGGTAGAAAGCTATATATTCAGCAACGTGTTTTGTTTTAATCAGACTAGATTTGATCAAATTGTGTGTACATTGTATTTCTGTATATATTGTCGGAATTGCAATAAACTCATAAAGACATACTCCTGGTACCGAATACATATATTGCAATTGTATATTTACAAATACAAAGAACAGTTCCAAGTCATGACTGATAAGTCACATAAAATCAAAGTTTCACTGCAAGCCCGAGTTCGTTAATTACTTGTCCATCGTTATCCTTTTTTTTTCTCTCCTAACGATTGGTCGCTTTTATGCTGGTTTTGGTATCCTTAGGGCATGACGCGTTATCGTCATCGTACCTTACAGGACGTCTAATTGTTACGTATTTTATGACTGAGAGATTGCTTCTAATTTTAAGATTAGTATGACTTTAAGTCTAAACACGTAACTTAACCAAAAGCAGCGAAATTACCCAATATCCTATAAGGTGTTTTCAAACGGCTCCTTACTACAGCCGAAGGCTATCGACAGATAGACAGTTCGAGTTAACGAACGCAAGACAAAACTATTGTCAGTCAATGCTGGGGTTATAACACATAAACCAGACCAATCTACAAACAATCTATGTGTAGTGATAACCAATCACTATATTTGGAGATCCCGACCTTTGGACTGCCTTCTTGACGCAGATCAATCACGGAGCCAGCCTACGGAGAGGAACTCGATAAGATAAGTTTCACGTTTTAATTTACATCCTATAAGTCGCAACTAAGGGTGCCTATTGCTAATCATACAATTCTCTATCTTCCAACAGGCCTATCGCAAAAACTCGAGGAACCGTACAACAAAACATGATGTGAGGCATTCAATTACTACAACTGGATTGCCGGTGAGAAGTAAAGTTCATAGATTACCACAGATGAAATATACAGCTGCCAAAGAACAATTTTCCAAACTCTTGAAACAAGGTATTATCTCACCATCTACAAGTGAGTGGGGTAGCCCTATTACGGTTGTTTTGAAGAAAAATGGAGACATTCATAAAACTGACTCATACAGGATTTGTGGAAATTATAAAAACCTTAATATACAAACAAAAAAGGACACATACCCAATACCAAACATCCAGTCCTTCACTAATGAAATCCATGGATCGGAAATTTTTACGAAGGTTGACTTGCGATCAGCTTATCATCAAGTTCCGATGAAATCCGAAGACATGGACAAAACAACGGTAGTTACACCTTTTGGTGCATTTCGATATCACGTGACTCCATATGGCACTAAAAATTCAGGTTCAACATTTCAAAGACTCATCGACATGGTAATCCGCAATATTCCAAATGTTTTGCTTATGGCGATGATATTTTGGTATTTTCCAAATCACCGGAAGAACACGAAGAGCAAAAAATGGGTTGAGTGATTTTGCATTATTAAACCACCCAGACCCAAAAGCAGAAATATCTCTTGCGGTGGACGCTTCAGGAAATTCGATTGGAAGTGTATTACAACAAAAGAGAAATAATCAATGGGAACCATTAGGATTTTTCTCAAAATCGTTAAACCCAGCCCAACGGAAATATTCTACTTTTGATCGGGAACTACTGGCTGCTTATCTGAGTGTCAAACATTTTCGATATGATTTGGAAGAACGTTCGTTTTTCACCCTCTCTGACCATAAACCATTGACGCATGCCCTACACAAAAGTGCTGAAAGATCATCTCCACGACAAGTTCGTCATCTCGATTTTATAAGTCAATACACAAATGACATGAGATATATTGCTGGAAGCAGTAATGTGGTAGCCGATGCTTTGTCTAGAGCGACAATTGCCGCATTCTCACACTTGCCTACAACTCTAACCTTGTCTGACATCGCTTTGGAACAACATATGGATCCGGACATTCAAAACCTGTACAATGAACCTAAAAGCATGGAATTACGATTTGTGAAACTTAGTGACGATTTACATCTACTATGCGATTCAAAACTATCAACACTACGCCCAGTTATTCCGAAGAAATTTCGAAAACGTATATTCGATACGAATCATCAATTAAGTCACCCTGGAATTCGAGCAACTCAAGATCTTATTCAAGCAAGATACATTTGGCCAAACATGGACATTGACATCAGGAAAATGTGCCGAGCGTGTATTCCATGCCAATCATGTAAAATTCAAAGGCACACGATCTCACCTTTGCAAACTATCGTAACTCCAGACGAAAGATTCTACCATATCAATATTGACATTGCTGGACCTTTACCACCATCTAACGGATATAATTATATACTTCTCATTGTGGACAAATTTTCGAGATTCCTATCAAAGACATAACATCTGAAACGGTAGTTAAAAACATTTTCTGTTCTGGATTTCTAAATATGGCGTACCTGCAATCATCACCAGTGACCGTGGAGGTTGCTTTCAAAGTGTTCTATGGCAAGAAGCAATGCAATTTATCGGTTCTCAACACATTTCAACTACTAGCTATCACCCAGCCTCAAACGCAGCTGTTGAAAGACAAATACGACAATTAAAAGCATCTCTGATGACTCACTGCCGGAATACTGCAGATTGGTATCAAAACTTGGGTTTAGTTCTACTTGGCATGCGAACTGCCATTAAACAGGACTTAGGATACAGTAGCGCCGAACTACTTTATGGAACACCATTGAAATTGCCTGGAGAATTTTTCTCGACCAACCAACCGGGTATCAACACCAACCCTCAGGCGTTTATGAAACGCTTGAGCAATTTCATCAATAAGTTGAAACCAATTCAACCGAGAACACCTCAAAATAGAAAGACATTCTTATCACCAGAATTGAATACTTGCAGTCACATATTTCTACGTGTTGACGCAGTTAGAAGACCACTGATACCACCTTATCAAGGACCTTTTCGTGTTATACAAAAATACGACAAGTTTTTTAAGATTGATTTTAAAGGCAAACCTACCACTGTTTCTATTGATAGAGTTAAGCCGGCTCATGAAGAAATTTTCACTCCCGATACTCAGGACATTTCTAATTCAAATACCCCAACTACTGAATCTGACGTACTAATACGCAGATATAACGTACCAATATCAACCGATATTGACGCCCCTTTACTTATTACGCAGAACGAGGAAACTAATAGCAATCAACAAGGTTCAGGATCAATACAATCAAGGACTCGACACGGAAGGACAACTAGACCGCCACAGAGAGACGATTATGTTTACTATTAAGTGCCTCGCAATCTGTATGTATCTTTTTGTTTATTCGTCTAGTCTGCCATTTAAATCTGCTTTACCAACTCCAACAGTTACAGTGAACCTATGCCACCCCAATAGACCCAAAGCTGAATACTTTATTCAGAAGCCCAATAATTGTACTAAGGAGACACCCCAAACCATTAAGCAATGCTCTGTTACGGTACATGAATTATCTTCTAGCTATACAAATATTACTTTATATGTATGTCAGAAGTCTGCTACTAAATGGTCTAGTCATTATTTTTTCTTTGGTGCACATTCGAGTAAACTGACGTCTACCATGATAGAACCACCCACCCCTTTATATTGTAAAGATTGGGTACACACGTTAAAAGCTGATAATATTGGAGATTTAGAACCCACTTCCCCAGATACTTGGTCCACTCAAAACAAGGCAAAAGTTACTTATAGTTGGCCATCCTCTAGACACGGACAAGTGATCAATGCTCATTTGTCTCGTATTCAAATTTCGTATGATCCTTTTCATGGGGTAATGTTAGGTGCTTTCCCTTCAATTTCCACCTGCAACATATTAACTGGGTCATGCACGTTAGGAAGTCAAACTTTAATTTGGAAACACCACCCTTTAATTGATTGCCCTCAATACCAAACAACTGTTACTGAACTCATTTTACATTATAATTCTTCTAATCAGATTTACCGCTTGGATTTTCCAAAACTTGGGCAATCAATCCATAACTGGGGTTCATGTGGCAAGTCAGTTAAAAGATGTTTTAAGTCTGATACTTTTTGTACCAGTAATGGTTCGTTATTCGAAACGCAACAATGCATTGCACTTGATGGTTCATCCCTTTTTACTCTTAAATATCCCGCCTTTAATTACGATTATACTGTAAAGAATTTTTCAGAATCTTCTCCTCTAATTGGGTTTATTCAAGAAAGCACTGATAGGGTTTCCGAGGTAATAAACAAATTGACAGCAGATATTAATTATTTGGAATGCCAAATTGAAAGCATTCTAACCACTAATATTAAACTCCTGTCTAAACAATACCCCGGTAAGATCCTAAGTCAGTTACTAGGTGGGAACAGAGCAGCTATCACCGTGGGTGATATATTGACCGAAATTGAATGCCAACGTATTAACGTTACCGTTCTCAGGAACCTCTTTTTACAGGGTAAATATGCTACCCGACCTTTAGTGCACTTTATTAATAATAGCAATGAAACGATCATTGCACAAATATTCCCTGATTCTAACGCTTATGTGGGTATTCATTTTTTTGAAAATTATACGCCTGGTCGTATATCTACGTTTCAAATTGACGGTCGGTTCTATAACTACGTCAATTATACTTTAAATCATGCGGATATGCATGTAAAATTTCTGAGACCCACATTCAAGCCTTTTGTCGACAATTTTAATCCTATCGATTACAATGAAGCATATAACGAATTACCAAGGGGACACCAGGGTTATGATGATATTAATAATATGTTATTATCAATCAGCCACATTAACCTTATTCGAGAACGAATATTAAGTGAGCAAACCTTACCTAATACAGATAGCACATCAGACACTGATACTGATGCTATCTCACATGAAGTGCAAGACACTTTTGTTCATGCCCTCTCCTTCATTAAGACGTCAATTTTATCAGGTATTTATATGCTCTTATTCCATTTATCTCTCATTTGGGCCACTATTTGGACCGTTTGTTTTATCAAGAAACTTTGCCCAAAACTGAGAGATGAAGGACTTCCTAGAATACAACGGCTTCGGCAATACTTGGCTGCTCGCAGGGAACAAGTGAACCCTGTTGAACCACCTCAACCTCTTGTGCAAAACAATAGACAAGATCAGGGGGGTCAAATCTATCAATCTAGACCAAATCCCAATAATAGATCCAATTCGAACTTATACCCTAGTCTGGCAGACTAGTCGAATAGCAATGCTCATATTGTACATAGGCTTGCACGTGATTTACGGAATTACGGAATTATTTCGAGTTACGGAAGCGAAGTTACGAATTACGTAAATTCGTAATTATTGGTGGAGCGCTTTCGCGATTGAAACGATCTCTCTTTAGAGCAGTCAATTCCGTCGATTGTAAAAAATTAAAGTTTAATAAGTAGAAGAAGTTAGAGTTCCGGTATTCGCAGCCGTTTTTCTCTCTCTTGTTACGCAGATGGAGAAGGCATAACGCGTTGCCATTTACTAACCTATTATCAACTTATCTAGCATGGCAAATGTACATATTAAGCGTAGATATGGGATAGAATTGTGTTGAGACCGATGGACGCCAACACACCTGGTTTCAACTTCTTCGGGTGAAATGACTAAAGAATGTAAGAGATCAACTTACCAAACATGGTCTATTTGTAAATGCCGTGATAATTAATGTCGCGCTTATCAAACAGCAATATGACGACGGAAGAGAAATTGCGTAATGCATAGGTTCTCAAAGTGCTCCGTACGGAGCCCCAGGGCTCCGTGAGAGAAACCCAGGGGCTCCGCGAGCTATTCGATTACTTTTTAAAATACTGAATTGGCTAATTTTACTATTAGGATTACTGAAATGAAAGACTACTTTTCTGAAATAACATAAAATACGCAAAAAACTGCCAACTATACATAAATTGCAGTCGTATTTTTGCGATCTTGGGATTTGTCAAGCTTGATTTTGTTCTTTCGCACTCACGAGCAAGATGTCGCCGTTTAAAAAATAAGAGGTCGGGGCAAAATACGAAAGATTGAAATTTATTTCATTGCATGCGGCTCCGTCGGTAATTTCAGAATGGAAAAATAGGTACATCGCGCGCACAATTGACTGTGTTTCGGTTTCGCAGTTACTACGACGAATAACCAAAGAAAACCCAACATAACACCAAATTTTTGATTCACGATGGGTATGAACGTGTTTTTAATCTGAAGTGAGTCTGCTGAAACAAAACTTATAGTGTTATCTCCCATTTTAAGTTTTAGTTTTAATATTTCAGTATGCCGCTTTTCAATCAAGAAATTTGAGTTGCGGATTTATCTTTTATTATTTATTATTTTTAGCATTTCGTCTCCGGTGACTATAATATGGTAACTTGTTTTTCACATTGAACTCATAATTCCCCACGAGAACAAAAAAGCAATACTCGTCGTCATTGTGGAACAATACATCATACATGTATATGTCGAGGAAAATTTTTGATTTAGGGAGAATAAACACCGCCATGCTGACGAAAACAATCGGCGATCGTAACAAATGCAATCGAGTACGTTATTTGCGGCCTTTTAAGTCTTTCAAAAATATCTAAAGGTAAAAGATCCGACCCCTAATTTATTAATATGTTTGTCAAGTATCAAGTTTACAGTTTTAGTATATATAATTCATCTTTTACATTTAGATTCATTTATGACTTGTATTAACCCTATTAAAAGAGGTTAAGCATTTAAAATAAGTACAGTACTTTTGACTTACTCAGGAATATTATTCGGAAAGTAACAATTTTAACATTTATTTTGGGGCTCCGTGAATAATAGTCAACTTTTTCAAGGGCTCCGCAACACAAAAAGTTTGAGAACCCCTGGCGTAATGAACCAACGCAACTTAGTCTTTTCGGCATCGGTAAAGCGATTCAGACGGCAGAGAAACAACAAAAAGACGGGATTTCCCATGTTTATTCTGCGCGAGATCCATTTTCTATTACAAAATCTTGATGTTCTGTTACCGGTTTTATCTTTATATATCTGTCCGGACTTGGCCTTGTTTTCACAATGCCTCGCACTATTTCGGCCAAATATGTCTTTACAATATCTTTAAGTCTTTACCAAATGCGGCAACTTATTTTGATTTATCGTCGACTCAAATACCACCGGCACTCGACCAAACTTGTGTCAATCTTAGCCGATAGGATTGTCGACTTGAGTTAGAAAAGTAAATTAATATTTTCGTGAGTGCAAAATAAATGTCACCAAATGCATTGTTTTGCGATATAACTTTGTATTTTCGGAGAAGGCATGTCATATAAGTACGGTATTTAAATTATGCGCAAATAATTAATATTTGATCTAAATTTATCGCAAATAATGTTATAACATTTAGGCCGCGAAATGATTTAATGTAAAACGAAGCATGGTAATCGGAATATCGTCAATAAGTCGGCATCAAAAATTACTATAAAATGCTAACTAGGTAGTAAAGTCGGATAATTTAAAAAAACGGTACAATAACAAGTCTTCGTCGCGAGGCAAGCGCAAGTATAATCAAACGAGAGAATACGCTCGTCGTTGATTTATAAATTAGAAACCCGGAATTTTTATTTAATACGAAACTCGTATTAATACGTTAATACGATTTTAAAAAAGTCAACTATCGTTTCATAAATATATTACCACTTACCAGTGTTGGTAATGATAAAATTGATCGCATATAATTGGGTGATAAAGTTGATAAAGGAAAATCAAAGCTAACACAAAAGATAAAAATCAGAATAAAATTAATTTGAATTCACTCCTTGATATTTGTCTTTAGCATCTGTCGCCGGCGTGTAGTACTGGCGGAAATATGAAAACCAAACTGTCCCAACTGTTGATGTCCCATTCGGAATAGAAGTGGATTAAATTGGTTGTTATGATAGGTTTAAAAGTGTGAAAAAAATATCGCAATTACGGGGTCATTACGTAATCGATTTGGCCGTAATTACGGAATTGATTTTTGTCAATTACGTGCAAGCCTAATTGTACATATATATTATACTTTAACATGATTTCTTTCTAACATGTGTTTTACGAAGAATTAAATACTTTGTGCATTTACATCAATACCTATAACAATAATATACCTCGTGTATAACTATCTCGGGAATAACTATATTTAATCTACCTTTATACAGCTTAAAATTTATTTTTTATTTTTAGTTGAATTTCATGAAAACAGCACGTCATTACCGCTTTCTCAGCCCAAATTGCATCCTTAGAATTCTCCGAACTCCTGCGGGGGAGTTATGTAGCCAAT